TCTCTCTCTCTCTCTCTCTCTCTCTCTCTCTCTCTCTCTCTCTCTCTCTCTCTCTTTGTTTTTTTGAACTGTGGTTGTAGAGATTGAACCCAGGGCACTCTACACTGAGCTACATCTTTATGCCCTTTTCATTTTTGAGGCAGATTCTCAAGGCTCGCCTTGAACTAGCAAGTTTCCTGCCTCTACCTCCCTGAGTAGCTGGTACTACTCATGTGTGCTACTGAGCTTGGCTTTCATTATATCTCTCAAGGAAACCTTATTGACTCTTTGTATTGAAATTATCCTAAAAAAAAAATAATGGAAGAAACACTGTGCTGCTATGCTGTGGTGATAGTGCACTTTAGAGAATAAACACCATATATAAAATGGCAAATCCTGGAAGTTTAATAACCTTCATATAATTATGTAACTTTTATTTAACTATTATGCTGTTTTGTCCACAGGAACATTGAAAATCATCCATAACATTTTTTTCAAGGGTGCAATCATGTCATGTTAAATACTTATTAACACACATGACCATATCAAGGTTTCTTTTAGGGCTGAATTACACGTTAGTTATACCCACTGTAAGAAAGGCAATGCCTCACCCTCCTGTAGTCACATTCCTATATAGAGACTTAACATTATAGAAAAAGAGATTACAAATCAAGCCAGTGCTGTGCTTTTGTGTGTGCTTGGCTGTGATGCATAACCATGCAGAGATGGCCTTGTTGCAATGAGGGTTTAGTTCTTCCTCCAGATGATCTGGCTTCCCAGTGCATAAAGATGCTGATTGATGAGACTCATTGTTTTGAAGACATTTAATCACATATGTCCAGTGTAATAATGATTGATTCTGCATATTTCAGACTGATTCACTTATTTGTATTTCTCATGTATTTTTTCCTGTTCAGTTTCTCTGTCCTTCACATGCTAAAAACAATCTCCACCCAAAAGGGCATATTACTAAGCTTTTCATAAAAGTCATTCATCCGCAGGTGCTAAATTGAAAGAGGAAGGACATGGTGTTGATTAAAAGGAAAAAAAAATAAAAGTATAGGGTTGAGAGTGAAATATTTTAGTCGGGAAATATTTACAACTTGATTGAAATTGCAAAATGAAAACTCAATTGAAAAATGAAGACATTACAGCATTAAGAAGATGACTTTTAGGCATGGAGGAGCTACAAATTTTATTTTTCATGGAACACAATCATTGCTGTTCTTCGTAATTCATAATAAATTGAAAATGATTCAATAATTAATTCATGAATAATGTTTGCAAATCGGATTAATGTTGGTCTTTTCCATGACAGTCAGTTTTTACAAAAAAAACAATTTATGTAAAGTTATTAACTTTCAAACATGAAAATAAGAAAAACACTACATTCTTTCTCCTTTAATTATTTTTTGTTTTTTAACTTTTCTTATGAAGGGTGGTTTAAAAGACTAGATATTAGAAACAGACTGCTTGTGTTAAAATCCAAGTACTGACATTTTACTAGCTATTTGAACAAAACCACGCTTCTGAACATTTATATGCCTCAGTTTCAACATTTCCACAATGGGGATAATAATATCTCTTTCATCTGTAATAATGTCTAGTTTGTTGTTAGTATTCTGTTTATTATTAAGGTTTTAAGAGTATTTTGTATAAGAATAAAATATTATCAAAAATAAACAATAGATGATTTGCACTGCTCTTTTTTCTAATTTTGGAACTTCAGGTAGCTTTTAATCAGTTTTTCATCATATCGCTCATCTTACTTAGTATAGTACTTAAAATTAGCTTATTCTACATTAGCCTGTTATGTAACCATATAGATTCAAGATACAAAGTAAATTAGGAAATATCTTCATACTATTTAAGAATCATACTAAACAAATATTTGTACAGACAAAAGAGATAATACTGACACTGGAATTTTATGTATTTTATTTTAAAGTTACAATTGTGTTTTTAAGGAGGTTGACTTACACTCCAGATCTTGCTAAAGCTTGTCTTATTTTGGTAGACCTAAAAGAACTCTTCTTAGAAGCATATTATCTCATAAGACAGATCCTCTAAAAGTGATAGCAAAGAAATTAACTGTTTATATATCATACTTCTGAATCAAAGTACTTCTTAAACTCTGGGAATCAGAAAAAGTAAAAGAACATAATTTTTAAGTAAGAATAAAATTCACTTTTTTACTAATGATGATCTAGATTTGAATCTAGATCAAGTTAGAAGTAAAAAGGCTCAATTTGACCCCAGATATTTAAATGAACTGTAACTTGTGTTACTATGGGAATATATGGAACACAAATTACATTTTCACACATAATTCAAGTACACATTAAGTACTGAAGATGTGTATGTAGGATAAGTCGAAAATACAATATTTTCATTTAGCTGAGTTTGAAAACATTTGGAATTCTGCTGTTCCCTTAGCATGACTTGTATCATATTTTTCATTAAACAGTTTTCACTGTCAAGGGTCTGCCTCATGTGGTTTTGAATTGTATGACCAGCATAAAATAAGAGAAATGCTGACAGAAAGTAATCCATGATGTTGAAAGAATTTAAAAAGGAGGCTTTAAATGTCATTCTTAACCTTATGGAGAGTGTTTATAAATTAGCATAATCTCTGATATAAAAATTACTAAGATTTTACAATCAGTCATGCATCTGTTTATATCAATAGTCTGCAAAATTTTCTTTAAATTGAGTAATTGACCTTCTTCCTGGTCAAGTATGCATTATGTGCTTCCTGCCACTTACAATAATGATCAACGGAGTTTAAAGTGAATAGAAGCATTTCTCAAACATTCTGTATTCAAAGCACAGCGGACTAATTCCAGAGAGTTGAGAGAACCATCAATTCCTTCATCATATGTGACATGAAATAACTCATTCTAATCTATGATTGAGTCTGCCAAATTATGGCCTTGAGAAACATCTGTAGCATAATGATGCTACAGATGAAGAGATAAACTCTTCCTCATTGGATTTCAATATTCAATATTCTTTTACTATATTAATGAAAGTCAATAAATTGTGAATCTGTATTACTAATTATTATTAGATAACTTTAACAAAAATTAGGAATGCTATCTGCTCATTTTATTCATAGGACTTACCCACTTTTTAAACTTCCATATCTTTATTCTTTGTAGTGACATTTATGTTGCTAAAATCCTATTTAAATCAGGCAATTCTTCCAATTTTAAAGGACTGTGGACTAAGGATTATATTCCAGGAACAATGAGTGTATTTAAAAAGACACACAAGTTGGTTTATACTTTATTGGCCATGAGAAACTTTGAATGTTCATTGATAATAGTAAGATAGATGGAGTTAAATTATTCATTTATTCACTTAAAAATATAGAATTTTAAAGAATGGTACAAATTTTTTTTTCATTGGTTAGTTCTAAAAGATGGATTTGTATGATTTTGGAGTTTTATTTTTGATTTTGTTTGGATTTTTATCTTACTTCACTGTGTTTTTTGTATTTCTAAAATAAGTAAGCATGATTTTTGTAGTCAGAAAAAAAATTAACAATTCACAAGTTAAATTACAAACTAATTTTTCACATATATATGTGCATATACGTGTAGGAAAATTTTTAAGAGAAAAGGAATTATCTTTGATCATGAGTTCTTTGTACAATGAGAAATAAGTTGATAATTTTGAAACAAAAAAAAACCCAAATGATTTAAAAGTAGATCTACTCTTTTATTACAACATGCTAGCAATTCTAAAAATAAAAATATCAGTAATAAAATACTCCTAAATACTAAATTAAGCAACTCTCTACCCCTAGGGCCAGCACCACCTACCTCCATGACTTCCCAAATCATTTCTCTCTGATGTAATTTTTCCTGATTATAAAAACCACATAATTGGACCTACGTATCAGTAGCATGAAGGATTAAATAAATTTTACAAAAATAACTTTTGAACTAGTACAAATTTTTTACTAAAGTCATTTTTAACTTTGTGTTTATAGGAACTGAAGAGGAAGATGAAGGAGATGATCTTCTGCTGAGGTCTGTGGATGAGTTCTGGTGGTTTCCACACATGTGGAGCCACATGCAGCCACACCTCTTCCACAATGAGTCATCTTTAGTTGAGCAAATGATTCTCAATAAGGAATTTGCACTGGTGAGCACATTTTATTGTAGTAGTTTTCAAACTATAAGTTCTCATCTAGTAGTGGATTATTAAATCAGTTTATTATTAATTAAATTCTATAGAAATACAATAAAACAGAATAATTGGAGTATAGCACAGGTACTAAGGATGCATGTTGTGTTTTGTGGTATTTTATTTCAGGAGTGTATACCCGCATGGGGCTGAGAGATGTATGTGATATATAGATAGATAGCTTTCTATATAGATACATATAGATAAAAATCACAGTAATATCTTTCAAAAGGTCATTTTCAGAAAGTTGCTACATCCTGTTTTATTAGAAAATTATTAGAGTATCAATGAAAAGACCAAAAAAGTACTTTCTCATCCTCAAATTTCTGCATTACATTCCAAATGCCATATAATTAGAAAAGTTATTTGCTTAAAAATCATTTGCTGCAAGAACAAATGAAAGGATGGATGAATTGAATCATTGAAATAATGACTCTAGATCAGTGGCTCTCAAAGTTCAATGTATCCTCATTTCACCTAAAAGTCTTTTTGAAACACAGACACTGGGTCTTACTTCGAGAGTGCTGATTCAGGAAATCAGCAGAGTGGCTTGAGAATTTGCATTTTCAAGAAATTCTCAAAATGATGCCCATAAAGCCTAGAAGAATCACTTGTCTAGTCCAGGAACTGGTTAACTAGGGCCCATTAGCCAAATGTGAATTATTGGTTGTTTTTTATGGTCCCTGAGCCAAAAAAAAAAAATGTGTTTTGTTATTTACATTTTAAATGATTGAAAAGCAATCAAAGGAACAATATTTAGTAATATAAGAATTATACTAACTTCAAATTTCAAAGTCCACATATGAATTTTATTTGAACACTGCCACAGTCAGTCCTTTACATATCGTCTACAGGTGCTTTTCCACTGTAACAGTAAAGTTGAGCAGATGCACATTACACCATCTGTTCCAAAAAGCGTAAGATATTTCTCTCTGGATCTTTACTAAAATGTTTACACACCTCTGTTGTAGACCTTAGTGAAATTATGTATCCCTTTAAAAATGTAATGGAAGATTGAAATCTTGTTCCCAGAAAAACACTCAGATACACATTTAGACATATAATCACAAAGGTTTGTGATAATCACAGGGCCCAAACACCCTGGGTCTGGTTTAGGGAACCCTGTCATGAAAACGAGCAATTATTTTGTACTGAGTAATTGTTGTTATCTTCATTTTTTAAAAAAAATATATATATTTGGAAGCCAAGCCCTCAAATGGATGCTGTAATATTTTATAAAGTTGTGCCTAGATATTAAGTTAACCCCCTCTCTTTCCAGTTCTAAATTCCCACGATAGCATCAGATCAGCACAGAGAACCTTTAGAAGTAAGTGTGAATAACATCAAAGGCAGTTATGATCATGAACTCAGTCACCAGGATAACTTGTTCAAATCCTGACCTTCTAGCAATGATTTCTTGATCTTGAATAAATTAGTTAGATTCTCTATGTCTTAGGCTTCCCCTGTGTAAACATGAGAATAATAGAAACAACTGTGAGGGTATGTATAATATGCTTAAGGTAGTGCCTGACACTCAGCAAGCATTCAATAGGTACTATGTCCTTTCTAAATACAGACAAGTGTGCAGTTATTTCTTTAAATAGATAAATATGCAGCTATGCCTTCCCTTAAATAGTCAAATATACATTTATGTATATATAATGTATAAATATATCATACACTTGTATATTCATTGTATATATGATATACATGTTTATCTATTTTGCATAATATATATATATTATATATATATATATATATGGCTTAATGTGTGTGTGTGTGTGGTTAGTCATCATTTAACCCTTAGAGAGAGTCTAATAGATTTACTACTGCTTTATAATATTGTAGAATTAAGTAAATTTACCCTTTTCAAAAACAAACATACCTTGAGTGAGCTAGCTAAATTTTCTCATTTGTGGTTATTTTGAAAATAAAATGTGTTTTTCACTTGCTTGAAACCTTCCTGACTCCTCTACCACTCTGAAGCCTTGCTTTTTTAGGCTTGTAGGTCATATTTCATAATGGCTGATTTCACCTGTTTGTGTAATTTCTTTTTAAAAGCCATGCTGAGAGCTCTGGGAAAGACTCAGATGTAATTGCTTTGTAATGAAATGTTGAAAGCTATTTAGAGTCCATTCAGAGCAATTACATTTGTTTAGTTAGCGTGGCTAGAAGCTAGACTTAAACCTATAAATATATTTTGTAAAATATATCTTATTATGTGCTGCATAGTCAAAATATTGCAACTTAAGTGAAGTCTGTTAAACACACATATTGAAATGACATTGTCCTTCTTCTGGAGTTCAACTCAATAATATTAACTCAGGACATTTTAAACAGTAACGTTCAGAGCCCCACCTTTACTATTAACATAATATTACAATATGTTTACTGTCCAGAAAGCAAGAAATTTCTTTCTTTCTTATTAAATGATCTTCTTTTCCTATTCAGGTGACACTTTAAAATCATCAACAGTATTGAGACAGGATAGGACAGTAGAAAACACTGACAGGGATGTTGGCAGGATAAATATTAGCCCCAACTGCTAGTACAAAATTCTAATGGAGTGGGCAACTTTTTAAGTGTCTTCTTGCTTCACTTTTCTCCCCCCAAAATAGTAATGACTCCCTTTTTCATTCTCCACACCACAAAGTTTTGAGATAATTAATTTACATCAACTCATCTGCCAACCAAAAGCACTGGACCAGATAATGCCACTGATCAATTCCAGCTTTAAAATTCTGTGATCACTGACAACATCAGTCCACAAATTTGAATGGAACATCTTGAAATACTCATCTAGCTTCCATTGAAGCAATTATGAAAAGAGATTTTCAAAGTAAATGAATATTTATATGGATAAAAATCAAAAGTGTCCTCCCGCTACTTCTTTTTAAATTTGTCCTGTACTCCTAACTACTCTTTAGTTTGACCTTGAGTGGCAGAGGGTTCGTCAATCTTGAAATCACAATTGTTCTCATAGCATTTCCAAAAATGATTCAAATGACATATTAATAGTTTCATAGTGATATTTCAGAAATGGTTCTTAAAACATAATCAATCAGCATGGTCTTTTGTGGAATTTCTCTGAGTTCTTCCTGGATAGAGTTCATTTTCTGTTATACATGTTTAAAAATCATGAGAGTAACACATTGTCATGAAGTTTCTTTAACCCTTCATTATTTTGGAAGAGGCTTTATTAATTGTCACTGCTCAATCCAGGTACACATGATATGGGGTGTATGTGGGGGTTGCATGCATAATCACAAAGGAATGCAGTGTGAGTAAGTGCATGTATATGTGTGTGTATCATTCTTAATGCATGGATATATATGTTTTGCATGTGTATATGTGTGTATGTGTGTGTCTGGACAGATAGCATCAATTTAATGATAAGCACAGTCAAACAAGATAGCATAGCTACAATACACCTTACTTAGTATGGAAATAAAGTGAAGAAAAATATTTTTAGTTCATTTTCCTTTAATAAATCAGATCTTTGCTGCCATTCAGTTGCTTGAGCATGTCAATAAATAGAAGCAAAGCTTCAAAGATGATAACAAAGGCTGGAGAAAACTAGAAGCATCAACTAACATGAAAGCAGCTAATGAAAAAGTTACCAAAAATCATTCTGATTTAACCCGCATCTCCATTTTAATCACAGAAAGAAGAGTGCCTGTAGCATAAATCTGAATTATTTATTTTTATTCTGCAATAAACATATGAAAAAAGTTTTTGAGAATTGTTTTGTTGTTTTAACTTTTACATACATACTCATTAAATTTCCCAAGTCAGTGTGGCTTTTCAGTCCACTGATAATTACAGATCATGAAGTACCCTGAAGGGATAAGGACCAACTTTTTGTCTTCAATGCTGACATTTTCAATAACAATGTAAATTTTCTTAATGTTCTATTGAACAGTAGGCTATCTTATTCTTGACCAAGTAAATAAAGATTCTTTAAATAAAGGCAAAAGCTTTATAAATTCTACTTTTTAAAACTTTACATATTTATGAAATCTATATAACTTCCTCATAATTAGATTCAATTTTGTGAAGTAAAAAATTTTGAAATTTAGATTGTTCTTATAAAAAACAAACCTGTCAAAAAGCATCTATGGAAAAATCTGTGTTATAATAGACTGCACTCAATCTGCTATATAGATGTCATATTAAAAAGTAATCAAAGGAATATGAAAATGGAATTTATGGCACAATAAGACAAATGTCAGAGAGAACTGACTATGGATGCCTGCAATGTCAACATCTTAATGGATCATGTGACATACAGCCTTGTGCTGTACAGCAAATAAAAGATGCCAAGAATTGACAATTAAAACTAACAGGGTATAAAAGTAGGGAATTTAGGAAAAACTAATAATCACAAAATTCAATGATGATACATAGTCTTTACATTCAGAAGAGGGGATACATTCACATGCATTATTATAATTTATATATTATATTCATATATTATGCATTATTAATAATAAACCTGAACATAAAACGTAGAGAAAAAGGAGAAACTTGTGTAATATGCAATAATATGGATGAATATTGAGGTTATTATACTATGTTAAGAAGCTAATCAGAGAAACATAAATATTACACGATTACTCCTACATTAGGTATTTAAAAATGTCAAGTTCAAATAATCCCAGAAGGGAATAGTATTTTATAGGGACTGGGGGGAGGATAAAATGGGGAGTTGTTAAACATGGAACATACTTATGTATGTTTTAGTCTAGCAAGATGAATATATTCTAGAGATTTGTGAGAGTACTGTAATTGACAATAGTGTATTTTGAACTTAAAAATTTGTCAAGAAGATAGATTTCACACTAATTTAATAATAATTCAAATAATAAATTAAAATCAATGTTTTTGACAATTTCATAAATTCTAAAAGGAAATACGTAACCATTTGATACAAGTATCTATGTAACATACTTCAGAAA